GCTGCAAGAAAATACCGCCCCGTCCGCGCGAATAATGGGTGATTAGTGAAGCGCAGATCTAATAAGGCAAAATTCAACACGGTGTGCGATGTAAATCACGTTATATCAATTAAATCCTACTCGAGCCTCGGAATGTTCGACGCGACTGTAACGAATTGCAGAAGAAAATTGCGGAAGCGAGAGGGGAGAAATTTATCTCCACGATAAATCGATCTCGGAGTACCTCGGCTATTAAAAAAGAAAGGATATTGTACTCCGACATATAGAATTTCGATATATTTGTACCCTTGCAAATTATAATATCGACGTAGATGATGATGTGATTTTACACGCGCTCAAAAAGGAACGGATCATCTAGTTGAGAATTCATACCCTCCGCTTACAATCGATTTGCATTTCAAATTATATCTGAGGAACATCTTCGTTCGCTCGCTGGGAGAACTCCCTTTGACGGATTTACGCGTGTCGCGTCTCAAACGGCCAAGTGAAAGAGAAAATGCAGGGCGTATTTTGCGGCTTATTTCTAGAGTAACTGCAAAACTCATATCGGCATCATACGCGGGAAGGCGTGCCGAATCGCATTAATCTCTCAAGCCACTTACTTGCTCGTCGAAACTTTCGCGCATCTCCCAAGTTTGTCTCGAACGCAGGCAGGACGCAGGTTAATATCCCCCGTAATTTATTATCGTGACGATGCAGCAAGGGCTCGGGGAGGGCCACGACCCCGGGTCTTCGAAATCTTCCTCAAGTTCCAGCAAAACATAGCGGTGCAATTCGTACCGTCTTCCTTGCCGAAGGACGATACCTCCGATGGAGGATGAACCCTTGGGAATTTTCGTAGTCCACTTTCCTATACCTATATCGCTCCCACGTTCGGGAAACGTGCGGCATATGGCAGCTACCTTTCCTTCGGGGAACATCTATCTTACGCAACTTCCAATGGAGATCGCGAGCCTTGTTGAAATTCAACGCGAAGCTTCGAGAAATATCTAACAATCATTCAAAGGGCGTCTCTTAAATTTATCTGTATTGTGTGGAAATGTGCGCAGCTTCGTAATATAGATTGATGACTCGCATTCGGAATATGAGACAAATCGCTAAGTTGTCAAAAGATTTTCATTCGTCAAAAAATTGTAGCAAGGCTGTGTAAAAAAACGTTACGAAGAGCGTGATACTTACACAGAAGTTTTATATAAATTATTAATTCTTTAAAAGAGGAAGAATGACCTAGAAAACGAACCGTCGCCTTGTTTAAACGTTTATACATTCTAGTGTGTAGATTTAAGCTTTCATTTCGTCGTACTCTGTGACGTCTGGTATTTTAATGAAAAAATTAATATGTATTTTCGGAAATACGTACATATTAAAAAAAATATCTGAAAGTCTGACCGAGGGATTCAGTTCACATATGTGCAAATGTAATGTAGCCCTAAGGTTAAAACTCGTCGATGTAAGGAAAGCCATAGCGGATTGAAAGTAGTACGAGTAAGCGTATAAATCGGACGCAAGGAGGTCAAGACTCCTCAATCCCTACTCTCGAGTGGATGATGACTGCGTCGCCGTACCGGGAGAGGTATGGCTTCGCAAAAGGTAAAGAGCAGTTTTACTCGAGACGAATGCGAAACAGGGTTGGCGGTTGAAAGCATCAAAACCATCTGTGTAACGTGGCCACGTTGCGGTCCGACTTTGTGGGTAATTTATGTGAGAAGCGAAATTTCTTTTCCTCGAATTTCTCCGAATAGTTTCGTCAGTCTACTTTTGCAAAAATCTTAGTTAATCTTCAGCGTTACGTGCACGCATTACAAATTAATGCCCGAAAAACAACGAGAATGCAGTGTTCTCGTCGATCGTAACCGCTCGTATTGAATTTTTCCAACTACGTTGAGTGGTACGTCTGTAAAACGGGTACGTACCGAAAGTAGACGTTAATAATTGAAAATCGTAAAAATAAACAGCGCGGAATAAAATCGTAAGTGGTAATAACGCCCTCGTCTCAAGAGTTCAGTTGCTTTCGCGTAATATCGTAATAACGTGCATTCTCTGTGGAGTGATGAGTTAGATGAAATAAAAGGGAAGGTAATTAGGAAACTGTGGAAAGTAAGAGAGCGTAGAATTGTTAAGCAAAAGAATAGTAACGAGAAAAGGAGTGATGAGTAGAGCGCGACAAGGGAAGTGATTGGACAGCGAACAAGGAACTGTAAAGTATAGTGTGAATAGAGTAACAAGTTAAGCTGTACAAACGTAGTGAATTAGGTATTATACAGGGTGTCCCAGGAGGAAAGGTCAATATTTTGGGAGGTGATAGTATCGGTTATTTTAAGCAAAAATGTCCATATGAATATATGTCCCATTCCCCACTGTTTCCGAGACAGAGCTACTTGAATGTCTTCGCGGTACTGCCGGGTGCGAAATTCCCGAGAATCTGGAAATTGGGATGCGTATATCCGTGTACGCATTTCAACCTCGTCTTAATGTTCATCTCTGAATTAACAGCTGCGAAGGGGGCAAAAAGTACGTTGAGAAACGTCAAGGACATTTCCTTGACGTTTAACGATCATCCTACGCTGGAAGCTCAGAGAGTCAGACTGGGATTGCACACTCTCTCTCTCTCTCTCTTGCTCGCTCGTTCTCCTTTGCCTTTGGCGGCAACAATGTTCCTACGAATTACAACTGTCTGCTGCACGTATGCACTTACCTACCGCGAAGCAAGACAATGTACGTTTGAGGTCGAGACACGTTTTCCTATCCGAAACACATCACTATCACAGTTTCGAAAAATTCGACGAGACTCTGCAACAGTTTTGAGAGATAGAATATTATGATTTGAAGAAATCGATATTACATGCATTGTACTTGTGCTGAAAGGCAAACGGCTGAACGTGTTTCGCAAAAATAAAAATTACGATTGATATTGGAAACGTAGAATGCAGTTTACATCGACAATATTTCATAAAGTGATGTTTTACCGCTCTGCCATTTTTCCGGAGGAGAAATATATTTTATTTGAAAGACATTTCCCCGACTTTCGCACGCCAATGTAAAGTTGTGAGCGCACGGTAGTCTGCGTGAAATCGCAAAGGCAGAGGAAGAACAATAGCGACAGAAGTAAAAGCGGCGACGGAAAGAAGTGACGTGGCGAGAGAAATGCGATCGAACCGAGGGACGTACTTCGTTCGGAACTTTATCTTTGAGAATAGAATGGAGGAATTGAAACGTCGGATGTATGTACGGTAGCTTGGAACGAAAAACACTCGGCGTTCCTTTCAAGGCAAGATCAAACTCGGATCCGATCAGGTCTTTACACGAAAGGCTGAAACTCCATTCGAGGGAACAATAATCCGTGCCTGGCTTTAGCGCTTCTATAACATAGAAAGAACAAAAAGGCGGAAGCGCGGCTGGACTCGCCCCGTAGTTTGTGTGAGAACAAATTTTATCATCGATGTTACGATCTTTACGACTGTAAGCATCTAAATGCAGTCGTAAATGCGCGCCAAACGTCATCTCAGGCGTAGACGCGTTTGTCTTTGTAACATCCGCTGTTAGAAACATAGCTCCTAAACGAATAGCCTGTCGAAGTAGGTCACAGCCGGACGGAAAAAATTATTTCCTTGTTCATTAATTTCACTATACCATCTTGTTCTATTCCCTTAAGCGAAACCTTCCAGACTTCCATGTCGCTTACGCAGCCACAACTCATAAATGTGTTATTATTCTTTTCGCGAGTCGCATTAATGCACAGTCAGGCGGAAAATTCTGGTTAAAATTTTACCCGAAGTTACAAGGTTCACTCCAATGTTTCAACGATTTTTCAGCGTTCTCCGCTTGAATGTGAAATCAGATAAAAATCCATCCGACATTTGATATATTGTTACCAAGGCTAATTTATGCGAGGGCTCGCATAACCATGGATTTAAGTCGCCACCATTATCGTCTTCATTATCCGTCGTCTCACGTTTCGGCCGCTTGCCGTTGCGAGCATGCACGTAACGAACCGCGAGGAATCTAAGTTACCGTAAAATTTCTGTTGACATTATATAGTATTACACGACTTATCTCCCGAGGCTGCTCAGGAGGACGTTACTGCCGAACCCTCGGTGGCGTACAGACGGATATTGGCCGCGGCGGTAGGTGCCCGAAGAGTCGCCGTAACACTTCGGGGATGAGAACGCAATTCTGACACTGTAATTTGACCTCTGTCTCATCAAATAGCCCGACTGCTGAACATTAGAAAATGAATTTCGCGCAACTCCTTTCGTCGCTTTATTGTCCGAACGACGAATCCGAACTTCCCTTCGTCGAATTGTAGGAAGATACGCTCCACCAGCGGTTTCCGTCTCCTTCCTCCCGGCAGCAATCTTCGCTCGCTTCCAGTAATACGAATTTTACGATTTGATACGCTCCTCTCTCTTCCTCTCTTTCTCTGTAATATTAGTCGCGCTCGCCTTCGGCGACTCTCAAAGCCCCGGCCGTCCGGAGGTGCATCAGTCGCGCAAACATGATTTCACTCTATCGCGACTATGATATTGTCGTTAGGTCCTATTGCGTCTCCTTCGCGTCTCCCTCGAGATAGTTTTGCCCACTCTCGTCTCGTCTCCGGGAAGAAAGCTGACGCTGCCTGATCTATTACCCCACGATGCAAGCCCGTCCTTATCACCCGGTGACTTTATCACGAAATTCGCGTCGTTCTGAGATCCCGACAACGTAGACGCCTCGCGCTCAGCGACTCTTGGCGCGCAATTTTATTTTGATAAGAGTTTTAACGTAAACATTTCCGCATTCTCAGTGATATGGATCGTGTGGCTGGTTTTGCAGTAATCTTATTCCAGCGTAATACACAATAATATTTTGCTTTTAAACAGTTTTTTCAACGATATACCTCAGACGGATAATATTTTATCTTCTCGAGCAATTTGTAGTTAAATCGCTTTCATTGTGCCGCCCTTGTAAGCAGACTTTTTATCTGCACCGATCAGAATTGTTAACATGGGCTTTTATTTTAGGTACATGGCCATCGTGAACCCTTTGAAGCCACGTATGGGGAAAAAGGCGACGCTGTGCGTCGCGATTGTAATTTGGATCATCGGGGCAATTCTGTCTTTACCGATGCTGCTTTTCTATACCACTTACACTCAGAACTTCATGAACGGCGAGGTCCGCGTCGTCTGCTACAGCGATTGGCCGAACACAGACGACAATGGACTCAGCTACGATGAATATTTGTAAGCCAAACATTTTATTAACGAATTTGCATGCTCGCAAAATTTACGGAGAGTACTTGCGCGCACTTTCTAGATTATCTACATTCGCCCGTTTTCTCGGAGAAACTTATCTCTTTAATAAATATGTAGATGTAAGTTCCTTCATTTCAATTTTGAGTAGTAAACAGTAGCGTGCTTAAGATCGTAAGTACCTCGCGAGGATCTGCGCCATGCGTTCGCGAGTACAGTGATGGACAGAATGGTTGCAACACTGTTTTTTTAATGAATTTGGAACGCGCATTTAGATTCAGGTTTATGCTCCGAAATATTTTCTACGGGGAAAATTTTACTCGAGAAACAGATCGGAAACGTTCAAAATTGTTTTGGAATAGCTAAAGTATTAGTAATGCTTAGTAATTCTGTAAATTTGTACACTACAATGCCCTCAGCGGTTTCCCCTTCGGGTTCTCGTGAGCAATCCAGTAGGAAAAATAGTATCGCCGTTGGTTTCAGTCACCGTAGTTAAATTGCCATTCGTGTGTCGTTTTTTTTTTTCTATAATGCACCGTCGATGGTCGAGCGAGTCACGGAGGATAAAAGCGTCACTTTCCGAGGACCCATAAAAGCGTCGTTGCCTCTTGTAGACGCACATATCTACACAATATTGCCGTTTACGGTTTATGACTGTTAAACGATTTCGCCTGCCGGTCAGTTGGTTCGTCTCTCATGTACAGGAGCGTGCGCACCGCGAATGCCACGCATACCATGCCGGGCACAATGGGTCCCCTCATTTCATTACAAAGTGTTCCTGGTACCGCGACGAGGGAGGCGATAAATCGAGCTAATAATACCTTGGATTCGTTGCATCGCGAATGTATCGCGTGTCCTCAAAATACTTACTTCAATCACGCGCGATTAAATCCGAGCTCTGATCGGATTGTAATTACAGATGAAAATCGGAACTGTGTGTTCCACATTTGCATCCGCTTCGTACTTCGATCGTCTATTAAGATAGCCCCGCGAAAACCTACTTCGCCGAGATAACGTGTTCGCTGCGGAGCGAGTGCCGTTTCCTAATTGAAAGATTTCGACTGTGGTATACCCGCGCCCGAATCTCGGCGCTATCGTGCATGGCACGTCATGTAAAATCACGCACGGGCGACGCCCATGGTACGGTAGAGCCCGTAGGAGAATTCTAATCCCGATATAAATGCCGTTTCGAACAGTCGCTCTCGAAATAACTCACGTCGCTTTGATCCAAGTTCACGCGATTCTATCCGTCGTTCTATAATCCCGACCTAACTCAAGAATTTCTTCGACTCCTGCGTTCGTCGGATTCGTGCGACACGAAACTTTTCCATATTTCGCCTCTCGTGTTCGCTTAACCGAGATGTAAGAGGAGGGCAGTTTCGTAGCTGTTTCAAGTCAATTGCCCGATACAAAAGCTTCTGGTAAACTGATCGCTCGAGACTTGTCGAGATTATAAGCTTAGTCGGATAACTCTCATCTCGGCAATAGTAAAGAGCCCGCACGTATACATCGACAAATGATAGCACATATAGAGAAATGTGAAAGAGAGAGCATTTATACTGTGTGTGCAAAATTAGCCACACCTTACAAAGGTGCGGTTATAATGAAATTATATAGGATAATATCTTATAATCATTATACAATGCTTCAAGCGTTAAATTAATGAAGATTAATTATGACCGTAAATCCTGAAACTACCAAGATTACAATAATTGTAAATGATAAAATGATATGGACGAACAATATCCTGTATATGTATAAATAATGAAATATTTACCGACCTTTGCTTGCTCCATTTACTCTTTATACATTAAGTTGTTGAAAAAAAAGGTTAATCGTAGAAGTAAAAAATTTAGAAGAGGAGAAAAATTAAGACTATCTCAAATAAATCATCCAAATTCATGAACAATGTGTTTACATCCCGTGTCGCTCGCGTCCGCCCCTCGCGTGCTTTCCGAGCCTACTGCTCTCTACACGCTTATTTGCTCAGACGTTTCAATAAATTACTCGATAACTATTGCGAATTTTATAAAATGTTACATGACTTTTCTTCTCAATCTGACGCAATCTACCACCGTTTTTCGTAGGGGTCCTCTTGTGTCAGACACCCTGTGTATCGTCGCACAAAACTGACTTGCTCGATATTCTTAAGATTTTTCGAATAAATTTCCTCCTCTCGGGCGCCGTGCGGTCTGACGCTCGGCGTAATCCGTAAAGCGAATTTGTACAAATATCAGTATTATTGCGCCGAAAAGCACCGTTCCATCGATCGTGCCTCGGAAATTGCGCTTCCGGAGTACTAGCTCGTTCACCACCATTAAACGTTGACGATTTTAAAGCTTTTATGGACTTGTACCGCTTAAATCCGCGCAAAGTATTCTAAATCGGAATTACACGAGGTGTAACCCGATGAATTCATGCGCCGGTAGTTTTTATTCGTTCCGGATCAACACCGGCTCTCCGAGCGTGAGCGCGTGGGACCGGAAATTTCGGCAATTGTATAATAGCTCGCGACGCCTCGTAATCTGGTTGGAACGAACGGGATAATCCATTAATGAATTCATTACCGTTTGTTAATAATCCTAATGCGGAGTGCGTTTTAACGTCCCCATCGCGCCGGAGCTAAATACTCCGTTAGAAAATTAACAGCTGCTAGCATCGCTTTCGGATCGTCATAATTACCGTAATTAATGCACGTGGATCAGATTAGCGGCGAAAATTGCGGCGTGCTTCAACGCCACTGGCGTTAAAAACGCGGGATTTTTTGCGCGGTAATTCGGTCATCGTGCCTCTTAGCCTTTCAACGTGAATTGAAACTGATTGACCGCGCGAAAAATGATTACGTTTCCGTCCCTTTCGTAAAATACCGTTCGCGCGATATTTCAATCTCGCGAATTTTTTAAATTCCACCCCGAAGTATAACTTACACGTGCGTTACCCGTAATCCGTTTTATCGCCCTCTCCCCCAATAAATTTCGCTGGACGCACCGCGCGGGTCGTTATGTCCCGCTGCTAAAGGTTAACGGCAATTACGCGATTATCATTAGCCGCGTAAATGCGCCGACATGTAAATGATTGCACACGTGCTTTCGCGTCGAAACGCGAGCTCGGCTTAACTCGGCTGTCCAATTGCCACTCGATATGCCGTCGATACGCTTTCGTCAGTAAACAACATCAGACGGCGCCGCACACATTCGCCGGTTCATTACGTCTAATAATATATGGCGCTCGCGTAATGTCGGACCCCTGGCGATCGGCGCACTTACCGTCGGAGCAATCGGCGGTGTGTGTTATTTTCGTTGGGCGCACAATCGGCGCATTTAGCATGCGCTTTGAGAGCGGCTACGCGCCACGAGATGCTGCGGACAAAAGCGGCACGCGGCGCAGAACCGCGACACCGCGCTATTTTCATTTCCCCTTTGAGCATCGCGTGTCATCGCCTCTCGCGCCGTCCGGTGTAAATTTATGTCGAAAGCGACGTTACATCTGTGACTCGCGCGAAACACCAACTCTGGTAGATTTGATTGGCTAAACCGCAAATTGGGTCGTACATACGCGCAATAGCGAAATATCCGCGTTCGCGGATAAATTTAATTATGAATCTATCAATGAATTGTACTTGCTGTCAACGACGACGATTGTAACATCGACGTTTCCTCGATGTTTCCTCGACGGGGAAACGCGCAGCGCAGCCTAGTTTTCCTTTTTTCGGTTTTTATTTTTATTAATTTTCGATTTCACGGGAGACTGTGATGTAATTAAATCTTAAATTACATTTCTGCTAAAGAAAAGTGAAATTAACTGGAAAAATAAGATCTTTCCTGTCTGTTTAAGGCTCTTAAAGCACGGAGATACTTTAATTTTCGATGTCAACTTAATAATGAGACCGAGTCTTGAATACTCTTTAGCCGGAGAGAAAGGGTCGATCTTAGTTTCCTCAAAGAGTCCTAGAAGAAGGCGCACGACTGCCCCGGGGGGACTTTGTAGACTAGACATTTCTCGATGTCTGTCTGTGTGTGTGTGTGTGTTACGTCGCATAAACTTGCTCTTGTGAGTGGGCGTATGAGTTTAATTGATTTTCAGGTACAACGTTATCTTCATGATATTGACGTACTTCTTGCCAATCGGATCCATGACGTTCACCTACGCCAGGGTCGGCCTGGAATTGTGGGGCTCGCAAAGCATCGGGGAGGCCACGGCCAGACAGCTCGAAAACATTCGGAGCAAACGGAGGGTACGTATGAGATGAATTAATATCCGCGCACATAGTCGAGACGCTGAATAAATGCCTCTCCTTCCGGTTTCTTCTTTCGTCAACAGTATTGCGTATAATATTTCGATCGGAAAGAACGTAAACCTCGTCGCGCTTAATACCCGCGAACGGAGGGAGACGGATGTTAATAAACTTCATAAACTCTCACGTTGGAATCTGTTCTACACTGCCTGTGCTCGATGGCGTTTAAGTAATTAAAGTGCAGTGTCGCGTCTCTGCACTTGTAGCGTATTTATACGAGGCGATGCAACCAAGTAATCACCGCGCACGCTCTTTATCCTCGCTCTTCCGCCCCGAAACCCGGCCAAAACCGATGTACGAACTATCTCAATTAATTAAGTTTAATTGGAACTTTAGATAATTTCTGTTCACGCTCTAGTCTTTTGTTCGTCGAAGGGAACAAATACCGCGTAGTTCCGCCCTTGCGGGGCGCCAGGTAAATTATGAATACCTCATTATTCGCGGGAGGAACGCCGCTACATCCGGACGTGCAATTTTCTTGCAGCACGCGCGTTGCGTCTTATTTTTGTTTCATATTCCCGTGGTATCACAATAATACAATGTCCGCTGAAAAATAGCGTTATTGGCGCGCGGCGGGTAGCCACCGATAGCGATCGTGTAATGCATTTCGCTCGCAGTTGTTCCGCTCTATCACAGTCGCGTGTATCTCTCATCGGGATCTCCGATCTTCTATTTCCCTTACACGTATCGACAACTGTTGCTACAAGTTATAGATAAATTACTCGCGATGGTTTTCGAGAGGGACGTGTCACATCCGCGATCGGCCCAGGAAGAACCGCCGACGCGACGATAATTACGGCAAATGACGTAATCCCGTACGCGACCGATTGTAAATGCGAGCCGATACGCCACATAATACGCACACGTCAGCTTCAGAGGCACGGGAAAGCGCATTAAGATCCGTATGAAACGATAATATCCAGCCTGATGATATTGGCCTTATCCAACCCTCGTAAACTCGGCTTATCGGCTCTGTCTTTTAGTGGCCGCGGGGGGTCTCGTGATTCTCTTCCCTTATGAATAACATCAGCGATTCCCCAATAATATCCGCGCAGGCAACGGGAGCCGCGTTGCACGCAAAAAAAATTCGAAATACGTCTTTGTCTTTTCTTATCTTAATGGCGCTATGGTAATTTTTACCGCCTTTATGATGAATGAACGGGCGCGCACGGCTTTCTCAGACCGCAAAGACCCTTCGTAGCTAAAAGCGGGCGCCTACTTACCGCGCTGGTAGAAAAATTACGCGAGAGACGCGCTTAATATCCGCAGATACAATTTCTGGGGCGCAGATAGGCTGATTAAGGTACGAGTTTTAACAATGGCGGTTAACGATCGTACCATGTATATTTTTCGCGAACGTCCAAGTCTTTAAAAGGTCGCATTTCAATTTTACTGATAATTTCTTTCTAGCCCACCTCCCTCCGCGCTCTTCGCGCGATACAAGAAAACGTGATTACGGCGCGAAGGTCCTTCGCTCGAACGGCGCGAGGGTGTTCGCTGAAAAACGTCTTCCCAATTAGTCTTAAATACGACGTGTAATGACTATTTGCGAGCTTAACGACGAAGCGAAGATTGCACGTGTACGCGAGATATTCCGTAGCCCCGGTATCCCGCTACCTCAGAGACGGCGGTTCGAAGCCCCGGCTGTAATTTGTAATTAGACGAATCCCCGGTCTGCACCCTCGCGGACCTCCATTTCCTACGCTTTAACTCTCTCAACTACTTTCGGTCAATAAAGTTTGCTGGAGAAAGTTTCACCTATCCTCCATGGGCAATAACACGGACGACGCTGGGGCGCTTAGTTAATTTTTCGGTCGGGGAAAGAGAGAAAGCGAGGGGGGGGGGGAGAGGAAAAAGAGAGAAAAAGGAGAAGCGGTCCCCGGTGGACGATCCCTTTGTTTCAAAGAAAAATGTCCGTGTACTCTAACACGTTCGCGATACAAGCAACGGATATCGATTGCCTACAAACGTTTATTGCCTACAATCGTTTGTGATCTGCGTTCCCGAACAAGGTGAAAAACAATTAGATACAAGCTTCTACCTTCCGGCCAACGCCGCTACCTTCATTTTGCTCTCGTGGAAACGGTGCAGCTGCAACTTTTTTTCAACGGCACGCGATGAATTATGTGAAATAATGGTAAATTTAACGAAATATCTTCGACATTTGCACGGTAATATATAATATGTCTATATGTACAGATATACGAGATATAAGCGCAATTAATGCTGAAATACTATCTAATCGGGCAGAGTGATCGCGGAGAAGAGAATAAATGGAATGTGATTATCGGACATAAAAATGGTCGTCCTAAATGGACGTATAATGAATTCGCAACGAAGCGGTCGATGCGAGTGCAAGAAGGGTGGCAGCATACTTTTCCGGACTTACCGCAAAAGAGACCGAATCCGTGATTCGTCACTGCGACGCTTGCCAATTGCGCTAACCATATAATTATATGTATAAATTACAAACGCGTGATAAGTGTCTAATGATTCTCATCGAAAATCCTCGTAGAAACGCGCACCATTCAAGAACATCTGGCGTTGACTTGAAAAATTATCGGATGGGAATAATTGATCGAGCGTCAAATTGAAGTTCACGCAGTTGACAGCTTTCTCAATTTCTGTACTTTTAAAAAATTCAAAAGAAGAGTTTAGTGTCGAAAATTACGTTGGCGGTTACGGTAATTCCCCGAAATCTACGTAGACGTCCATTATAACGACATAAATGTGGTGATTAATCATCGTAACAATCTCGCCTTTTCGATAAGAGTATACTCAGACGCCGAGGCGATAATAAAAATAATAAAATTGCAAGACTCGGTGGAGTGGAAAATGAAGGATGGAAATAAAACGCCGCGACCCGGTCTATACCGTTTGAATTTTAATCGCTCGACTCTCCGCCCTCGCGCTTAATTTTAATTTCTGATTTCGTATTTAAAAGCACTGGTATGCAAACAGAATGGGACGAGCGTGGATTAATCTCGTGTCATATTGTGCAGTTCGAGCATCATATCAATTACGATCGTAGAACAACCCTCGACGTTCCGTTTCTCACAGTCTACATTTCTGTGAAGTATCTCCAGCGTAGCAATGATCCGTTAGAAGAAACGGAAGGAAGGGACAACGCGTCGGCGTTTAATTGAAAGATACGCGCGTAGGAAGGGAAGATTGCGGGGGCGCTATACAGGGTGTTTCGGATAAGGTGTCCATCCGCTCGTATACAGATAGAGCGGGTTACACTGAACAGGAAAGTTATGTACCATTTTGTAAAATTCGCAATAGTTTTCGAGTGACAAATAAAAACGTCTGGGCGAATGAACGCACGAGAAGCAGTGGACCGGACTCGGCAAGCACGTTAAGGGGATGCTGAAGTGATTCTGCACTTTTGGCACCTTTTGCTCCTAGAACTGTCAGTTCGTGAACATTTGTGTAATATACAAATTATGTGGCTTTTGCGTACGAACCGACAGTGTTCCACTATTCGGGCTGAATCAGAGAACAGCATGGTATCATTGAAATTAGGTTTGAAAGCCTAACAAAAAATCGATTCACTCGAATAAGTTATAAGTTAGGTAACCTATAACTTATTCAAGTGAATAGACTGCTGTTCTTTCACTTCATCTGAATAGACCGACACTATCGGTCTGTACACAAAAGCCACATAATTGGTATATCACACAAATGTTTTCACGAATTGACAGTTCTAGGAGCAAAAGGTGCGAAAAATGCAGAATCATTCCAGCGTCCCCTTAAATGCCGTATTTGTTTAGTCTCGTAGCAACGGTGGGCGTCCGATAGCGGGAGGTGGAGCGACGCAGCGGAAAAAAGTTGTCAGCGAGCGGCGAGCTCCAGAAGTCCAGATGATGCTCACTGCTCCGTCCCTCATCGCTACGAGACTAAACAAATAAGCCATTTAATATCTGCCGAGTTCGGCCTTTCCTCGCGCTTATTCGCTCTGACGTTTTAATTAATTACTCGATAACTATTGGGAATTTTACAAAATGGCACATAACTTTTCTTTTCAGTTTAACCCGCTCTATCTGTACACGAGCGGGCGGGTACCTTATCCGTAACACCCTGTATATCAGGAGAATCTAGTTAAACGGACCTCCTCGGCATGTTCGAGTTGGAATGCATTGGATTTCGATTAGGCGACAAAAGGTGTCCTCTCCGTTACATTCGAAATCGCTACTCCATTCCGCCGCGTACGTACCTATCGACGCTCCGGCAATGCTCCGACCGCCTGTGTACGCGTCCGGGTTACGGATCTCACGTCCGTGCAGTGCTTACTCGTGTACGTACAAATACGAGTTTCGGTGTACGACATGTGGACAAACGGCCCGTATCTTCAGGCAGACCAGCGGCGTCACTGACAATTACCGCGACGAAAACCGTTAGGTTTCATTTGACGCGCACGTAATTCCGGCTGTCTATTTTCGTTCTGCGGGACGACGTCCCGCGCGACGTCCCCCTGCGTTCTCTCTCTCTCTCTCTCTCTCGCATCCTCAGAAAGTTTCTCTCGTCAGGGTTTGTTAAAATTTATTCGGAAAGCGGAGAGTGCTTCGCTCGGCGCTATTCGGCGCTTGAGTCAAATTATACAAACGCCCACCGCGTTAGATTTACATACGAATGGAGCGAAGCCAAAGCCGCCAAACGCGAAACCTTCAGCTCGTTATACGGCCGTTATATTTCTCTCACGTTTCTCCAGCAACTGCAGACGCGCGGTGTTCTTAAAAATTTAAAAAGCTGTTTACGGTGCGAAAATTTTAAATGCACGCAAAGTGCAGTGCGGTGCGCGTGAAACGTAAACTCCCCTCCCCTAGGGGTGAAGTGCTTTATCTCCTTAGAGTGTCGCTCTCAAACTTAAAGCGTAAATGCAGAGTACATTTACGTGCACCTACAACTCTCGCAATAACCTCTGACTCCCGTAAAGTTACACTAAACATCTTTTGTCTCGTGTCTAGCCAAGTGGTTTACTTAGGCTCGTATTTATAATCATTATACGAACACTGTATATCATAAAGAGCATCGGGGAAGATCAGAATAAAATTTCAGATCTTGGTTTAGACGTCTTTTTGTTCGAAAACTTTTCTCATTTGCGGTAGTCATATTGTATTTGAAATGTAAAATATGATTGAGAAATTAACATACGAGCTGCTTCGATTATTGAACTGCGCAAAATAGAACTCAGTTTGGGTCTCGAAGCAAATTGAGTTCTTCAATTGAGTCGCGATTGCACGTAACGAATATCAAATTGACCCTCAAGATTTATTTAATCCACATACCAGGGCCTAGCTTTCGCCAAGTTTCCACAATAGAAACACGCGTACAAATACGAGGGCTTTAATGCTTCGCACGTTTATCGAAAGCGAGAACGATAAGAATCCGATTTCGTGTCGTCCCTTTGAGTGCGCAGTGGTAAAACAAAGGCGTCTAATTAATACGTCGTTGAGAGCGTAAAGGAGATATGTGCTTCGAATATCGGAATATTCGCGACACTCGGCTCGATAATGTAAGCAATGCCTCTTTTACGGTGATTACATCGTTGTAGCAATAGATCTCGCGAAGGGAAGACTTTCTGAGATCGTGTCAGATGCGCTGGTGCGTGAACGCGCGCGGCACCTCCGGTGAGGACAATAGAGAAACTAACAACGAGGCTGGTGGTGAAGTCTGACATTTCGAGGAAGAAAGGAGATGTCGGATAATGTGACCAGTCGTCAGGACGCAAACACGCGCGGGCGATCTACTTCTCTTGGCCTTAATTATACTTACCCAGCGGTGGCGGCGGCGGCAGCAGCAGCAGCAGCATCATTCTCTTTCCGGATAAGAAATCGGCAAATAGATGTCCCAGCTGTGGGCTGAGTTGTACGAGATCGAATCCCTCGGTCCTTCCCGCTATTTCGGAACGGCAAAGGAGCAATTCTTCTAATTCCTTTAGCGGAAGAATCGGCACCGATAGCGTTGAAATATACCGCCCACCAATTCTCTTCCGGCATTCTTCCGGATGGTCAATTCTGCGGCCCCTTCCCTTAAAAGAGACACGATTAAACGTGGATTAGTCGTCTCTTACTTCCACAACGACGTGTCTTTTCTATTTTAATCGCGAGTCGCAAATAATGCAAAATGAATTTGTTCATTTTCTACATTCATTTACCTATTAAGCGGCTTTGCAGATTAAAAGAGAGCTAGTATGGCAAAATATATAATGCAGAAAAGGAAGAAGGGGAAATATAAATTATACAAGACGGAGCTACTCAAAATTCATTGCCGCGAACAAAACGCTGGCGCGATTATCGTGGATTTTTCGAGCAAGAGAGAAAAATGCAAATTCTTATCCGACTTGGTAGAGAATGTAGCATAGGAGCAACAAAAATGTGCGCCGGGTGTATCTCAAAGCTTTACAAACACTTGCCGAAGGTCGGGCATAAATATTCGGAGGGAATATCACGGTCCGCTGAAGCGATTTTTCCAAAGTGCTCGCACTGAAATATCAGAGCTGTCTCTTTGAATGCGAATTGATGAGCGGCGTTCGTTGTTGTAAACGTATAATCGAATCAATCGCGAGGTCCGTATGAACATAATGCAAATTATCCACGCTCGCACGGGGAGAATGTAAATTTACTTTTTAATTACCTAAAGAAGATAATGAGGTACAGCTCGTAACTATCTCAAGAAATCCAATTTAAGTTATTTCTCAAATAACCGTCTTCTACAAGCTGTCCTCAACTGATTACGAGAACTATACCTGCGCGAAGTTGAGTAGGTCGTTAATTTCAACGAAAAGGAGGAATTCCTCTTCGTACGGACAAAAGCGTAGTATAACGCGGAGTGGAAGGTAAGACGAAATTGAATTTCGAGATAATAACAAAAACGACGGAGAAATCGATATGTCATAAGCACTTTGTCATCGCAGCTTTAATCCACCTGTAGAAATTCCTCGCGGAAAGTGCATACTCAAAAGATATGCGTTTATTGCCGCGCTACGAATTGCCGATCGAAACTGGCGAAGTGGCAGCCGCGTGTGGAAACGATATCGATAGCTGTGTTTTCACGTTACGCTAATAATTAGTCGCATTATCTCGACTCGCGTTCGGCAGAATATTAAATACGGGAAATTCCCCCGCGTTGTTCGCATGAATCCTCCATTACGCGGCACGGGACGCGCGTACGGACCGAATCTAACAGGTGTTTTCATTAAAATCATCAGCAATTTGGCTACGTGAAATCATATGTTACATGGTATAACATATTTGTATAAAATACGTCTACGATGTTGATTATAAAACAATTCATTTACATATTAAAATTATCGGAATATGATCTCCCCAGTTTAATCAAATATGAAACACGTAAACAGGTTATTCTCTTATTGTATTGTTCAAACGATATCACTTAAAACAGTAATTTATTATTATAGTATAATTTAGTTGCCTGCGATCCTTATGGCGAAATCTTGAATTATGACAAAAAGTATTTAAATTTATCTATAGTTGGAGCATATTTTTGTGACTTTTTTTCCTTTACGAAAGGTTTTTCGGCGCTTTCTTTATCGGAAAGGTCTAACTGTATAGTGAATTAATCGTGGAGAAACGATCGACCTTTTACATCTTGACTGATACGAGTTTTCTTTATATTTCAGGTCGTAAAAATGATGATAGTCGTAGTAGTAATATTCGCAGTGTGCTGGCTCCCGTTTCATATGTACTTCATAGTGACGTCATATCTGCCAGAGATTACAAATGAACCGTACATCCAGGAGGTCTTTCTGGGCATATACTGGCTGGCGATGTCCAACAGCATGTACAACCCCATAATTTATTGTTGGATGAATACTAGGTAAGATTTTTCCCTCTCCGCTCGTTCGTCGAAACGAACGCTTCTTGCTCCGCTATTCATAATGAAATTTTAAGATATATCGTAACAAAACTTGAATATTCTCGTAACACCGACGTTATTGTAATCCGAGAATTATTTCTGAAGGGTCCTCATGCCGACTCAACCAGCTTCGTGAGATAAGCAAATACGTAGATACAATATCGACGAATCCTCTCGTCATTTGTTAACAGAGTTCGCGAAAGTTTCCCCTCTTCAACGTCTCGGGTACTGCGCGGTGTTTCGCTTCGGAGGTTCGCCTATCGCGATACGCAAGGGCTAACTTAAATTATTCTATGTTAATTAGCGGATCTACACAAATTAAACACTAATCTCCGCTGCAAAATATCCGAGTCGCTGCTGAAGCACGCAGTTCCTCGACGCGAGGGTTTAAGTTTCTATTAACTGACGTTTATATTATATTATATCTCACATTTGCTAGAACACGACATATAAATCCTTTCAATTTCCAAATTGTATTTGTTAACTGTCAAGTTATATCGAGACCGAATAATCAAACGGGATGTATTTGCATATTTGTAAAGCCGTAAAAAGATCTGTAAAAATAATTTAGCCACGTATCGCAATCGTCGCACAGCTTTATCTCAAGGTTCTTAAGGGGATGCTGCAGTGATTCTGCACTCTTGGCACCTTTTGCTCCTAGAACTGTCAATTCATGAAAACATTTGTGTAATATACAAATTACATGGCTTTTGTGTACAGACCGACAGTGTCCCACTATTCAGATTAAGTGAAAGAACAGCATGGTATAATTGAAATTAAGTTTAGGAGCTTAACAAGAAGTCTATTCACTCGAATAAGTTATAAGTTAGGTAACCTATAATGGATCTTTGTTAGGCTTTTAAACTTAATTTCAATGATACCATGCTCTTCTTTGACTTTCTGAATAATGGGACACTGTCGATCTGTACACAAAAGCCACATAATTTGTATATTGCACAAATGTTCTCACGAATTGACAGTTCTCGGGGCAAAAGGTGCCGAAAGTGCAGAATCACTCCGGCACCCCCTTAATTAAGGAGACTCGATTGCCGGTGATTTATTTCACCGTCGAGAGTGTTTGACGAACTGACGAGAGTTAATCCAATATAGCGCACAGAAGATAAGCTCATCCGACTTTAGTGATACTTCGGTGGGACGGAGAGGGAGGGGGAGAGACGCCCGAAGTTATTACACGAACAGGAAGTAACATCGTTGCCATTAACGCGTTTACACAAACGATCAATTTGAATGCTGAATATCCGCGATAATGGAAACGCGGTCGAGCAGACCGAGATACCCGATACATGCAAAGTAAGCGATCTGTATCATCATAAAACGGACGTGAAGGGATGTTGTTTTTAAGGACGTACGTGTCGGTGTGACGCCGCACCGGCTCGGTGAACGTCGCTGACCGAGCGACGTCCATCGAGAAAAGCCGCGCGAATCTTCGGAGGGCAATCGAAATAATTTCGCTTCGCCCGCAAATGGGAATGGGAACGTTGTCGAGGGTCGATCGAACCGTGGCTCGAACCCCCGGCCCCTCCCTCTTACACGTCACGCGCAGCGTGCAGCGTTTTGTTTCCTTACTAACATCGGTATTGTCGCTGTTTATTGGCCCGTGGGAAAAAGAGAATAAACGCAACGTCAAAAACAATAAAATGGAAATGTAATACGTCGGACACCTCGCTACGAGGTACGGACGTTCGCGAGTCGGGCGCGCGGATTTCAATTTTCCGCGTGCTATCGACAGAATACGCTTCGCCGGTCTCATAAATATTCATATACGACACGATACGCGGGTATCATTGTATTTCCGCGTTCAGACCGCGATCTCGTAATGACGGCGTATAATAATAACAATGGCGCGGCGATAGAGCCGCGTAATAATTGGATCACAGCCTCCTCCCATTTGTTATCCACGCGGGTTTTTCGTCCCGGACAATCGCGGGCGATTCCGATAACGCGCCCTCCTTAAGAGGTCTCCTCCTTCTCCCGCGTGTATCGTGAAAAAAATATGAGCCGTATATGAGAAAACTCCGCGATCCACGACCGCTATTTTTCAATTTCCCTCTTCGCAAGAAGTAAAAATGAATATATAATGGGACATGTGAATTGTGTCTGAGTTGAACGACAGTGCAGGGATATTTCTCTTGGGAAAATCAGGCTTATTTGGTAACGCGCCATGATTTATATCGCCCTGTCTTCGCCGTGATTCGATATCGTAAGGAGAAGATGAAGACGGAATTCTGCGGTTTACTCTCTGAACAGTGATAGCCACAGAGTATGATGTGAAAACCAAAAGTATTAAATTGAATATCACCGTGGCACATGGATGCTCTTGAATCGGATAATCTGGATTCGTTGCAGCCAACATTTGTACCTTCGGAATACGGCAATGCTCAACGTTCTTGTTTAAACTTCGTAAAAAAAAAAACCGGAGATTGTTCGACTCAAAATGATCCATGCGACGAGAGGTGTAACTTTATCTTGACAGTTTTAAGGTATAATCGCTCATTCTCTCGTGACATTGTGTTCCAATGTGCCTTATGCGTCGCAGATTCCGCCGTGGCTTCGCCCAGTTCTTCTTCTGGTGTCCGTGGGTGCGGGTTTCGGCGGAGCCGTCTCTGTCGCGTTCGGAGGCCGTGACGTCCAGATACAGCTGCACCGGTAGCCCACCGGACATGCACACCAGAATATCGCGGAATGGTACGTGCACCCTCTCGGAGCACACTTGCACCACCGGCTCCACAACGCCTAGGAGCGAGTCAGAGTCCCACCTCGAGGACACTGACCCGGAGCAGGGGGACGCGCGAACGTCATCCATAGATTTGCGCCACTTGGTCCCCGACGTCCTCGCCGATGTCGATCGCGGCAATGTTGTCGCGGCCAGGAATTGCACCTCGCACTGATCACCGCGAAATTCCGAGCAAAGCGATTACATCTCTTACCCACCCTCCACCTTCCCGCCCCCAAGCACCCGAGAGTACACGCTCGATTTGGCGAATCGAAGATATCGGCGCGCGATCCTCCGCCCGTCCGCGACGCGCGTTAAACCGATTTATAGACCAACACGGAGCGTAATACGGACGTAAAACTGTCGTTCGATAAAAATTGTTTGCGCATATAGACGAAGATTCGATGCGAGGTGAGAATCGAATATATTTAGCATTAAATGTGTAGTGCAGATTGCGAGCAGTTCGCTTCAAACCCCGCGGTTTCGTATCGATCACAGCAACCCAGGCGGGAAGTAATAAACGCGAAACGCACGCGGCAAATAAACTATGATTGCATGTTTGTTGTTCGTTAACTCGCGGGAAATGTTCTCTCGCAAGATCAAGAATCAAGCCTTTCGTTTGGAATCTAAAGATGAATAAATTCTCTTTAAACGAAACCTTGGATTCTCGCATATTGATTCACCGCTGAAAGGATTGATTCTCGATGGCGAAATATGTTAAGAGAGGAAGTAGCGTAGTGTATATAATTTTAGCGCGTTGTTTTTCCCACGGCATTTTAATTGGGATAGATATTTTGTTGTTCCATTATTATTATGAATATTAGTATCATCATCTCCGATTATATTCTCATGAAAGTCTATCGAGTTTATTTTCCATAAAGTATCACCATCCCATTGAATTTCAATTAAGTGCACACGTATATCTCTCTGCCACTTTAGTTTACGTCATAAGCTAAGTTTTTACACATGCTGATTTGAAAACGATTGCACGCAATAAAAGGCAACGTACGCTCTTTTAGATCCTCGTTTGACTTTTGACACGTGACGACGAATTCGATGACCCGCACGAATTACACCCGAACGTACGCATACGGTTAAACTCAACGGCACGGAACGGCGCTGTTAATCATCGTAGTATAATTGGATATAGCACGATACGTAGCAATCGATGTATCGATGCAAACAAGCCCTATTTCTAATTCGATAGGCACGGTGCGAATACCGCTGCACCTGCAATCAGTGAGAGGCGGAAACGACCGGCTGTTGGCTCACCATCGCGATCACGGCAAAAAATGGAGGACCTCGCAGACCAGAGGACACGTGTCCTGACAGGAGGAGGAAAACTCTCAGCAACAACGAGTACACACCTGGATATGAAAATATCTGGATATGAAAATGTCTAGTCTCCCCTTACTATGCTGGCGCTTTCCGCCGATCGGCACAATCGCACCTGCGTTCGCGGCACATCCCGGGAAGAAGCGATTCCCTCCGGCTGTCAAGCTTGTATGACAGACCAAAGACACGGTCTATTATATGTTTCGAGAGCTTTAATCGAGCTTCTCTCTCTAGTCACGCGCAACTTTAATCGCGAAGAGATATCTGTGTTATTACATTACACGTAATGTAATTTAAAAGAGTAATTATGTTGACTATCACTGAATTATCTTTATCGGCGTATCATTCATAGTCATTTAAAAAGGATCAACGGACCAAGATATATATTGTATCTATTACATCTTCTTCGTAGTGTTAATACGCGGTGTTTTTCAAAAAAAAAATGGTCGCATCAAGACTCGCGATTAATCGGTGTTAGAAAGATGTTCAAGTCTAAGGAATAATGATTTACGTAATGCGTAACATCGTCGCATTAATTGTCGTGTTCCTATCGTATGTAATAACCTAAGGGAAACCTGAAGAATCCAAGACTAAGGCTCTTGTTTAAAAATAAGATACTTCTTCAATCAATAGGCCTAAGAATTAAAGGATAAAATTCACCTATATTTTACGCTAATTGTAAGTAAAACAAAAGATATAAAATTTAATATGTATTATATATACATAGAATTAAATATATCTTCACAAGCAAGCTTTTTGTTAATGAATTACATTGTAAATTATGTGAATGATTGTAAATTATGTGAATACATTAAACGCGCACTAGATGTGGTTGTGAACCCATAGATAATCTGGTAATAGTGAGTCCGAGTTCGTCGCTGATATTTTTTCATTTGCGAAAGTCCGCTTCATTTTTTTCATGAAATAAACTCTGTACTAATTCGCAATTTCATATCCAAAGCTATCAATATCGATCGTAGCTCTTCAACGAATTTAAAAAAAAAGTTACATTTTGATATATTAAAGGATTATAAGTTTTCTCTTGTCTACTGCGCATTACTACTTTAGTGGAGATTCGTTTTGGCGTGGTTTCTTTTGCCATGACCACGTACCACAAATTTATTTAGTCTAAACGGAAGATCAGCGAGGCAACGTTAATGAACTCAAAATGTGTGTGTAATATCTTTGTAACTCATATTCCTTTTAGACTTTCAGATGTTGTCGGAGCAAGAAATACTCTGGGAAAACAAACGCTTTTTAAGATACGACTTAGGTGTACATAATACACACCATATAATACCGTAACGTAAATAAAAGCGCATAATTAGGGAAATATTCAAAGTCGTGATTATTTCTGAATAGGAGAATAACCAGACGCGGCTGTAAAAGTCGCGTACCACGTCGGAAACGCGAGCGCACTTCATCTCTTTGAATGGTCCAAAGCAGCTCTGTACATTAATGACGCACACGAAATAATAAACAGAATACCATCGATACCGAGAAATTTTTCATACCACAACTGTTGTGATATTTATAACTCGCTTTTTGTACCAGCCGTTCTAGCTGTTGGAATCTTTATCTAGGTAGAGCTCGTTCCAAGTGAGAAAATAAGCGAGCGAAAATTTTATTTAAAATTTTCCTCAACAACGCAAACTCCATCGGAGAGGGAGAGAAAATTTCGCGGGTCGATATATTATTCACGTATTTCTGGAGCATTGGAAATAATTAGAGAGTTATTTTTTCTTGTTATCGAGAAACGCAATCGGAGCACATAATGAAAGAATCATGGCTGTATATACTATTGATATAATATATATTTGTTATCATATCAGAGACCACTAAAAACAAAACATAAGCAACGTGATAGAATGTAAGACAATTGAACAATATTCGAGGCTGCGCTAGTAAGATAGCGACTGAATGTATCTAACGCAAGGAGGCGTAAACTCCCGTGAAATCACGCGAGAAGCGAATGGAATGCTCATTCCCTTCGTTTTCATTCGGCACCACGCGGTTCCGCGCGTACCTGTGACCGTATATTTGTTAGTTCTACTATGATTGTACTCTGGAAAATGCGTAAATAAAACATCCTATTTTTTATGTAGCCGCCACACTTTAAGTTAATGTCACGAAGGATCGCCTGTCGAAGGAGAGAGAAAACTCGAGATACAAACGTTTCCTATTCTTAAGGTAATTTTTATTATTCATACGCTGTTAGACATGCGGTTATCTTCTTTGAATACATATTCAAAGAAAAGGTACCATAATCAGGTCATCTTGTCGAAGAAATGTGATCAAGAGAAACGTCTATATATACAGAAATATAGTTACCACTGTTCTGCAAATAAAGAATAGATGTTGCATTCTAAAGTCTAGTTAAAATTTTACCTCTAAAGAAGAAACGTGAATGTGGTGAGAGAAATAACAGCTAATATTCAATACGACAGTAGAGACGATTAAACGAAACGGTCGATATATCAGTTTCACGCGTGTTAAGGCCGAATCAGAGACTAGCAATTGCCGACTCGGATTGGACTGGGATTGGCGATAGAACAATTGTTCTCTAGCCAACGAGAGCAAAACAGCCAGCGATTTGATCGACTCTCGTTGGTCAGAAGACAATCGTCAATCGCTAATCCCAATCTAATCCGAGTCGATAATTGCTAGTCGGTATTATATCGTGGGAAAAATCATGTAAATATATGTATATAAGCGCGCTTTTTAATTTCACAGTGAAAACTGTGCGTTTATTTAAGCTTATATAAATATTAATTGTAGGCGTCGCACATACTATATGTACTTTCTCGGCCAATAATTCATGTGCACTTTGCCCTTGTACTTGTTGATTTTTTCCCAAGCCGTGCAATGAAATGTCTTCACGTCCATTTTCTCTATGTACAGCCTTCCCTGAGAAATAGAACAAAGCAAGATCACTTTCTATGTAAATCATTTGTTCTTAATCCACTTGGTCTTCGTATTCTAGAGCTGTAGAGAATTCACTCCCCTTTCCGCCGTCCGAGCTCTTACCTGCAAATGATCATATTCGTGTTGCGCTATTCTAGCGGACCATCCACGTCCTTTCCACGTGAACGGTTCGGCGGAAGCGTTCAACGCCGTGATTTCCACCTCGTAGGCCCTCGGCACGGCAGCGGTAAATCCCTTAATGCTCTCGCATTCCTCGTAAAGAGTGATAGGCGTGTAGTCGGTGATTTTCAATTCGGGGTTAATAAAAATCGTCATCGGGACGACACTTATTTCGTGGGCTTTTCTGACGGATTCGACGACCCCCTTCATATTCTTCTCCGTACATTCTATAGCGAATATTTGCCACGGGAGTCCAATTTGAGGCCCGGATAGTCCGTACGAGTTGTACGTCCGCATAACGTTTATCAATCTCGCGATTACCTGAATAATTAACAGCAATGCAATACCGCTTTTTTCTCACATGCTTCATGTCAGATCGTAAGATTTTTTTTATTTAAGAATAATTGAAACTATTCATAAAATGCGTTGGACAAAAGTACACGATGAAATTAACTAAAAATTCATCAATACAATGAAGAAATTTGAATGCAAAGGTAATTCTTGCTACTTAAAAAAACGTTTTCGTAATATTTACAATCACTACTTTATAGTTGCATTAAAAAAGGTATAATTATCGAGCATAATCGTTTACTTCAATATATTAATACTATTTTCATAGCACTAATAAGTGTTATTAATTTTTCTTCCTTTACTTTCTGTCACAAATGTTTCTTGTGTTTTCCATGCAAACAACAAGTTCGACGTACGATTGTCCTTATAAATTATATATTTTCTTTTCTCCAGTATATTTATTACGAATTTTCTCGCTTGTCGTGACATTTTCCAATATTAGACAATTTGTCGTCGCGTATAAATTGTGTTTTCGCAAGTGTCTTGCCAAGTTAAAGTCTCCTTTCAGAGTAGTCTGTCGATTTATCAATATCTTTGTCCGTGAATCGAAAAATTCAGAGGGCGGTAGTATCCACTGTCAAGATGTGGGCAGTGCATAGAACTTCTATGGTGCAGCGATAAGCCTGTCACACAATAGGAAAGCACAGGCAATAGGAACAGGGAATAACACAGGCAACAGAAATAACTAAATTCCAACTTACTAAAAACCGTGTATCGACGCACAATGGAATATGGAATAGGCAATAGGAACAGAATTTCCGACGCGTTGGATTTCTATTCCCTATTCCCTGTGCCTGGCCTACCTGACCAATTACAGTTGAGACTGGGACAGGCACGTGGTTTCAAACAGCAGATGATTGGACAGCACTTCTATTGCCAACGAATCATCACGTCTTGGCATTACATAGATTTCTATTCCATAGATTTCTATTCCTTATTCCTATTGCCTGTGCTTTCCTATTGTGTGATAGGCTATACCTTTTGAAAGTCCGCCATTTTCACAATTTCCGGTTCTATCCTCATGGCGCGACCGCGCAGGACATGGTCGCCAACTTGACAGATGTGCGCGTACGGTAACTCGTTGGGATTCATACCCAACAGTCGCTGGAGCTTCTCCTTCGCTTTCAGAAAGCTTATGAGTCGTGCGCCTTTTCGCTCGGCAACAACGGCGCGTGCGGCCACGTTAGCGAAATGTCGCGCTCGAAACATATCGTATGATGTACCGCGCGCTCGCGAGCACCACTTTTGCACTGCGCGATTCTCTCAAAGTTCTAGAATTGACATTATCTACCACCAGAAAGAAACCTGAGAGCTGCCACGGCCCGGTTTTACGTGACCCTCGAACGCCCTCTTTGAATATTGAAAACGTGGATATGAACTACGTAGCCAATGCCCACGTTTGGGCTAAGCAGATAACGCAGATATGCACATTCTAGTTGTGTTCCGTGCTATGTGCATGAAATGTCGATATAAAACAGAGTTATTAATTTTTCATTATATGAGCAAAGGGGCCAACTTGTAGCGGCTCTCCACCACCCCCACCGAATTATTTCCGACGATCCTCTTTTCTTTGCAATAATTGTGTTTTACATTTTTATCGTTTATTTTTTTCAAACATGTGATATGCATACAATAATACATAACTCTTACGCTGTAAAGCATTAATAACAAATGAAATTGTAAAGGTAAATCTATCGATCAATTACAAACGAAATTCTATCGATTAAAAGACTGTGAATCCACTTGATCCAAAATTTTATTATTCAATAAAAATCAATCTATAGAGGCCCTCCATCACCCCCGCTGATTTGGATCGGCGCGGCGGTCCTCTTTCCTTTACAATGCGATTTTTTACAATTTTATAATTTATTTCATTTTTTTTATAATTTACTTTACAATGCATACAATATTAAAAATGAAATAATTACATTATAAAATTAAAAGTATAATATGTGTACAAGACAATATTTCTCTCGATATTACATACGAAATATTCAGTATGCATGCAATAATACGAAATTTTTGCAATGTAACATATATACATATTACATGTTCATAAATTCATCATAAAAATATCCCGAATGTATAATATTTATTAACGATCTCTTAAAAGTAAAACAAATCCACAAAAAATTTGAAGTAAATGTAAAGTAAAAACTTAACAAACGTATAACAACTTCCATTTTATTATAGTATGCATCCGATTGCAAATATAATTATATTTAATAATAATACATTGCAGTTATTTTATCTATCTTTTTAATTATCGAGTTACGTCCCCCTGTCCCTGCCTACTCGAATCTCTACCTGTCCGTATTCCGATGTATAGTCCTATCCATTTTCTTACGTACCCGCGTTTCAACTTTTTCTTAATAAACTTACAAGTCTTTCGTTAGAACCCTGACGCGATTTATAAGAGGTCCGATTTGGGGCGAATGGGATTTAATACGAGTTAATCTTGTTAATCTCGCACATATGCGAGATGTACAGAAGATAAGAATATAACCCACCCGAATTTTGATAAATAAGAACAAATCAATTTATTTCGCACATTATCTTACTCACATACTCCAACGGAGTGGCCAATATTGACCACTTACCCCGTCGTATTCATTGCAGTCTTCTTTCGTTGGGCCAGATTGGACCTACCTTTCGTTGCTCCTGGCCATACAGTCTGGTCATTTTGACCAGAGATCAGGAAGGAAGAAAACTCCTTCTATAGTCGGTTTATCATCGACAGATATTTCGTATGATTCGAACTATATGCGAATGTCAATCGTATCAAAAAATGCACGACCACGAGAGAAGTTATTTAAAAAAGAAACTTAATTTTAAGAAATTTAATGTACAAGACTGATCAAGGTACAATTTTATTTCCGTTCTCAAGAGTATTGATCGTCTCTTAGTGACTCGATCGTTGAATATAAAGTTCAAGCATAAATGTAGAAAAAAAATTTACTTCGCGTTGTATTTATTTTAATTTAATTATATTTCGCGATTAATTAAAATTTACAATATTAATGAAATTAAATAATGAATAATTTCTTCAAAATTTTGTGAAAAACTGATCGCGAAAACCGACCGCCACAATCAACCGCAAAAATACGAGGTGCGTGTGACTTATACAGGTATTCATGCGAAACGTATCTTGAAAGTATCGCGAGACATGTATCGCAGAATAAGTAAATGACGTAAGATCCAAAAAACAGGAACTTGCCGCATAAATGATACCGATATTATAATTGAATATTACAGTTAATCGATAATCTCAAATAAAATATGAAAATAACAAAAATTTAAGCATTTTCGGCAAAATATATTGGAATCTTACGTCATATTATTTTACTTTATACTAATACATATATCAATTCTTTAATTAAAAATGGATAGGCTACGAGAGATTAGTTGACCGAATACATCGATAAATTTCGTCATATTTCGCGCAAGTTCTATAATGTAGTTCAACCGTTTTCAACATGAACAATGAGCTCAACATACTCTGATTTGTAGAGCTCTATTTAATTAAAACGCGAAATTGTTTGTAACCTTTCCATTTTAACGTAACGGATCTACGAAATGTATCTACAATCTACGATCTAAAAATGTAGATTCCGTTACTTTAATAAAAAACTTTTCGCTCACCGACACGATGAGCAGCGGCGGAGTTGTATCGTTGATTCTGCAATAGCGCCCGATGCCTTCTTCTCCACTCAGGTGCCCTCCTCTCAGGTGCCGTTGTCACGGCTGTCCTCCGACACACTCGCGAATTTACACTTCCGTTTATAAAGTCACTTGTCACTCTCACTGTATCCAAATGTCACTTCTTCGGTTTTCACTGTGTCCGATTGTCACTGATTGCGAGTCCGATTGCCACTACGAACTGTTCGATTATATCGCCGCACTGATACCCGCACAAATCACTGACACAAATCGCGGGAATTCAATGATCGCACGATGATATCGATCATTGATTATTCACAGAGATCGATCGCGGTTTCTTCCCGCACTTGTCGCGAACGCGTATCAAGGAAGATTAATACGATATGCGAAGCGGCGCAAGCACAACCGATCGATTCAACTGTCGTTGCGTCAATGAACCTGCGTACGGCGCCGTAAACACCGAAAAAACCGAGCGCGGATTCCAAGAAATGACGTAGCGCCGTTAACACCTCGGTCGAAAACAATCTATTGTATCCGCGCTCGTTTTTCGAGCCGGAGGTCACTGCGCCATCACTCGCTCGCCGAACGTCGAGCCGGCAAGTACTGGCGGGAGTCGCTCCGTGCGTGTTATTACTTTTGCGTTGTTTCCAAGACTCGATCGCGATGAATATAAGGATAAAACGCTATTGATTTGTACACTTTAATCAGTAACAAGTAACGTTCCTCGATTAATTATTAAGTTTCTACAACTTGTAATGAGAAACGAATTGCATGTTGAGCTACGTCATTTCTCGGAATCCGCTCTCGGTCTTTTACGGTGTTTCCGTACGCAGGAACATTGACGCGACGACAGTTGAATTAATCGGTTGTGCCCGCGCCGCTTCGTATATCGTATTAATCTTTCTTGATACGCGTTCGCGACAAGTGCGGGAAGAAACCGCGATCGATCTCTGTGAATAATCAATGATCGGTATCATCGTGCGGTCGTTGAATTGCCGCGATTTGTGTCAGTGATTTGTGCGGGTATCAGTGCGGCGATATAATCAAACAGTTCGTAGTGGCAATCGGACTCAGTGACAATCGGACACAGTGAAAACCGAAGAAGTGACATTTGGATACAGTGAGAGTGACAAATGACTTTACAAACGGAAGTGTAAATTCGCGAGTGTGTCGGAGGACAGCTGAGACAACGGCACCTAAGAGGAGGGCACCTGAGTGGAGGAGAAGGCATCGGGCGCTATTGCAGAATCAACGATACAACTCCGCCGCTGCGCATCGTATCGGTGAGTGAAAAGTGTTTTATTAAAGTAACGGAATCTACATTTTTAGATCGTAGATTGTAGATACATTTCGTAGATCCGTTACGTTAAAATGGAAAGGTTACAAACAATTTCGCGTTTTAATTAAATCTAGCTCTACAAATCAGAGTATGTTGAGCTCATTGTTCATGTTGAAAACGGTTGAACTACATCATAGAACTTGCGCGAAATATGACGAAATTTATCGATGTATTCGGTCAACTAATCTCTCGTAGCCTATCCATTTTTAATTAAAGAACTGATATATGTATTAGTATAAAGTAAAATAATATGACGCAAGATTCCAATATATTTTGCCGAAAATGCTTAAATTTTTATTATTTTCATATTTTATTTGAGATTATCGATTAACTGTAATATTCAATTATAATATCGGTATCATTTATGCGTTTCGCATGAATACCTGTATAAGTCACACGCACCTCGTATTTTTGCGGTTGATTGTGGCGGTCGGTTTTCGCGATCAGTTTTTCACAAAATTTTGAAGAAATTATTCATTATTTAATTTCATTAATATTGTAAATTTTAATTAATCGCGAAATATAATTAAATTAAAATAAATACAACGCAAAGTAAATTTTTTTTCTACATTTATGCTTGAACTTTATATTCAAAGATCGAGTCACTAAGAGACGATCAATACTCTTGAGAACGGAAATAAAATTGTACCCTGATCAGTCTTGCACATTAAATTTCTTAAAATTAAGTTTCTTTTTTAAATAACTTCTCTCGTGGTCGTGCATTTTTGGATACGATTGACATTCGCATATAGTTCGAATCGTACGAAATATCTGTCGATGATAAACCGACTATAGAAGGAGTTTTCTTCCTTCCTGATCTCTGGTCAAAATGACCAGACTGTATGGCCAGGAGCAACGAAAGGTAGGTCCAATCTGGCCCAACGAAAGAAGACTGCGGGGTAAGTGGTCAATATTGGCCACTCCGTTGGAGTATGTGAATAAAGTAATGTGCAAAATAAGTTCATTTGTTCTCATATATCAAAATTCGGGTGGGTTATATTCTTATCTTCTGTACATCTCGCATATGTGCAAGATTAACAAGACTCGTATTAAATCCCATTCGCCCCAAATCGGACCTCTTATAAATCACGTCAGGGTTCTAACGAAAGACTTGTAAGTTTATTAAGAAAAAGTTGAAACGCGGGTACGTAAGAAAATGGATAGGACTATACATCGGAATACGGGCAGGTAGAGATTCGAGTAGGCAGGGACAGGGGGACGTAACTCGATAATTAAAAAGATAGATGAAATTATAACTTCAATGTATTATTATTAAATATAATTATATTTGCAATCGAATGCATCCTATAATAAAATGGAAGTTGTTATACGTTTGTTAAGATTTTACTTTACATTTACTTCGAATTTTTGTGGATTTGTTTTACTTTTAAGAGATCGTTAATAAATTATACATTCGGGATATTTTTATGATGAATTTATGAACATGTAATATGTATATATTTTACATTGCAAAAATCTCGTGTTATTGCATGCATACTGAATATTTCGTATGTAATATCGAGAGAAATATTGTCTTGTACAAATATTATACTTTTAATTTTATAATGTAATCATTTCTTTTTTAATATTGTATGCATTTTAAAGTAAATTATAAGAAAAATAAAATAAATAATAAAATTGTAAAAAATCACATTGTAAAGGAAAGAGGACCGCCGATCCAAATCAGCGGGGGTGGTTGATGGCCTTTATATGTAGATCGAGTTTTTATCGAATAAAATTTTATACATTAGTTTACCTTTACTATTTGATTTTTTATTTTTACGGTAATAAAAAATGTTACACAATAGCCACAGCTTCGTGCGTAGCATTGTGTAAGAAACTGTATACGAAAATTCTGCTCTCGCGGAAAAGTTGAGGGTCGATCGGTCGAAAATCATGCGAACAGCCGATGAGCTTGCGACTTTTCTGTAAGAGCAGAATTTTCGCATACGTTTCTCCTTCGAGTGAATTCGAGAATCGAGCCCCAGGCCTACAAACGTACGCATACTACTTCATTTGCCCTTCAAAATATAGCGGTGCTCTTGCCTCCCTTTTCAGTTCGAAGCTAGCAGTCTAGTAGTATACATGTAAGCTACGTTCGGCATTGTAAACCTGAGACGTCGGAGTGTTCTTTCTCCCTTTCTTTCTCATTCTCCTCTCTCGCTCACTCGAATGCAAAAGAGCCCTCTCCGACGCCTCGGATTTGCAATGCCGAAAAGTCTGTGGCTACCGCCAAACTATCTCCCGAGAATGTCGGCAGAAACTTGGCCGGTAACACGGCGATAAAGGCCTGTGTCCACGATGCTAGAACTTGGCCCAAGTTCTGGTTTCGAGAAATGTGTAGCCAATCAACTTGCAGCTATTCCATAAAAGCTGTATATTTCTCGGAACTAAAACTTGGACCAGGTTCTAGCATCGTGGACACAAGGCTTAACAAGAGCGTGGTCACGCTCGCCATCCGACAAGATATTATTAAATTCAAGTCTAGATGTTGGGTAAATTTGCGCGATTGCTAAACGAGACCCCGAAGACCGAAGGACGAAATAACGTGCGCGGAATACTGTTCGAGTAATTAGCCAGAAATGCTGAGCAATCAGTAAATGGGAACTTGCTACTAGCCGAACGTATCGTAACGACTTTGCAAGTACCGGCAACCTCCAGAACTCGGAATCATATCTAATGATGTTAAATGACTCTTAACCCAGCGGGAAATGAATGATCGATGTCAATATGACGGTTTTGATGTCGGTAAGACATCGTTTCAACGTCGATAGACGAAACATATCTGACTGGAAAACGACGACCTAAATACTCTCTTGGTAGCGCACGTAACTTTTCAAAGCGTGCAAATTTCAATGCGTTTTCTGCACTCGGTGTCAGAATTACATCAAGGCTCCACGAGTCAAGCAAAGACGAATGTATCAGAATTACGCGTACGCACGTACCTGATGACGATCGGTGACGATCGCGCAAGCACATGTTG